GGAATTCATGACCTGATACCAGGTTCTGTCAGTGATGCCACACTGTTCAATCCTTGTGGGTATTCAGTGAATGGAATGAAATGGATGGAATTTATTGGACTATTCACATCACTCCAGAACCAGAGCTTTCTTATGTTAGCTTTGAAACAAACTTAAGTCAGACCTCCTATGATGACCTGATCAGGAAAGTTGTGGAAGTCTTCAAGCCAGGAAAATTTGTGACCACCTTGTTTGTTAATCAGAGTTCTAAATGTCGTACAGTGCTTTCTTCACCCCAGAAGATTGAAGGTTTTAAACGTCTTGATTGCCAGAGTGCTATGTTCAGCGATTATAATTTTGTTTTACCAGTTTTGCTAAGAAGCAGCAGCAACAGCAGAGTTGATTAAGAAAAATGAAGAAAAAACGCAAAAAGAGAACACACATAGAAGGTGGTGGCTGCTTTCTAGATGTTGATACCAGGGGCTGTGCTTTCCATAACCAACACCTTGTAGCTGCAGAAAGCCCTAGATGTAATGATAGTGTAATCATTTTGAAGTGTATGCATTATTATATCAAGGAGTTAGATATCTTGCATGAATGCTGTCTTCTGTGTTTAGGTATTCTATGCCACTCTTGCTGTGAAATTGAAGTGCATGTAGAAAAATTTTACTGTATGAAACTTTACAACACTTGTGAAAATAATTCAATCTGGTTCATGCACAGTGTAATATTTCTGCAAGTATCGTCCAAGATTCCCCACAGACAAGGCTTTCGTCCTCATTGGGTGTTGGCCTCGGCCTAATAATCTGGGACTGTTCTATTAAATTGCTGCCAGGATTTTACATCCAGTTACCTCCACTTTCTAGAACATATTCTCTAGTAATATTATTGAAACCAATTTCTACTTCATAAATATGTTTTTGCAACAGCATTTAAAGTTTTTCTTCCATGAGTCAAGTCCTCCTAAGAAAATGGTTCCAGTTACTCATTGTGTGTATTACTGTTTTAATAATTGTTCCTGCATTTGTAGTCCTTGATTTCTTCCCTCACCATGATGTCTTTCCCCCACCTCCAGGCCCCCAAATAAAAGCAATACACTGTTATACCGTGGGTTTATATATTAATCTTATGGCCCAGATTGGGATGCGGGAAGGGTGGGGTATGGTCCCTTGGGGTTAATTTTCTTTTAAGGGGATGAGAATTGGCCTCCTTTTGAAGATGAGGGAGAAAATTGAATGTCTCCCCCAAAGAAACATCTCCACTGTTGATTAGCAAGCAGGGAAGAGTAGATCCATAGTTTGTAGATTGAGATAAGGGTGTACTGGCTGAACTGTGTGAAAGCCATCTGCTATTCTGTGCTTTTAAGTCAATGAAATTAAATTCTCATGGAGTACCATGCCTTTATTTACTTGCTAAGTAGTGGTATAAATGGATTTTTGTTACCAAGTAGATATAAGCAGGCAGATTTAGCATGAAGACTGTCCTTGATTCATTCAGTAAGTCCAGTCAGGTTGGATCATTCACTCTTTTAGCAGTGATTGCCACTAATCTTCATACACAGTATAGTATAAATCAATTCAAAGCAGAATTTTGGTGGCTTCTTCATTTGTTACAAAGTTGCGTGGCTTTGTGGTGCATGAGTGTTCTGACTTGATCTATTACTGTACAATTTTCGTTTCACCATGGCATTCACAGGATCAAATAAATGGCTGTCCAGGTTTTTCAGATCTAACACTGTACCAGAATGTATGGATGGATAGATATAAAACAATTAAAATTCCAAAAATATCTAGTAGGAAGTGACTAGAAATAGAAGCTTTCAAGAGTTGCCGTCTTTCAGCTATATTTGCAAATACTGTGATTTAAGCAACTGAAAAGATAGCAGAATTGGCTAAATTTTGAACTCATAATATTTTCTTGATAATGTCTGGATTGATGCAATGGTGTTTTTGTTCCTTCCGTATTTATAAACGAAACACCTTTTTTTAGTGTTTCTAAACAAAATCTACTTGGTTTGAAATCAAGTGGTTGGAATACTGTTTTGACTTTTAATTTTAACACCATTGATTGAATGTTTCATTAAAGAAGCCTTCAGTCAACTTGATCAGTTTGATTCTGTAATGAGCACAGCACCTAATGTTTTGACTTGCTTGTTTGTGAGGACCAATGCTCAAGGTAGATTTTGTTTTTGAACAGTATCCCAGTAGCTTTGGTGACTATGGCTTGGGGCCTGATTCCCCCTCCCCCGCCATACCTAAGAATTCTAATGTTAAACTTGCCCAGATTTGTGTGGAACAAACCCTAGAAAAATGAAAGTTGTAAATTGAATAGTAATCCTAGTGTGGTAGAGGAGGGAAAATTTTGGTGCCATAATTTCTCTTCTTTGGTGTTGGAGTAAATCATCTGAAAAATATTTCTGTACCACAGTTTAAGCTTCAATAAAAGTTTAATTAATTTTCAAAAAAAAAACTATTCTGGAGAGAAACCAATTCAGTTTATCAGACATTTAGAGGGCCTGGAATCCTCTAAATGTCTGATATAACTTGCATGTTAAGTGTCTGCTTGGAGACAAAAGGGTGAACAGGGGTAGTTCTTGGCCTTAAGGGGCAACCAATTTGATGGAGATATAAAATATGCTATAAGGTAACCATAAAGCAGAGCAGAATAAAATAAATGCTACATGGAGGTATAAACAGTGTGCTTTGAAACGAATTCCAGGGAGCAGCACTCCAAAACCTTTGATAAATAAAATGGTAGAAAAAAGAAAAAAAAAAAAAGAAATGCAAGGGTAGATGTTGGCCTGGGCCAGCGAGCCTTGGAAGCTGGTGGGGTGGATTCATCTTGGCCTGCTGAGTCCCTGCTCAGGGTGCAGAGGGAGGGCCATTTTAGGAGGTCTCTGACTGAGGGCTCTTCAGTCAAATCATTCTACGTGATTAAATTAGGAAACTATTCCAGGGCTTTGGGATCATGACACCAAAGTTGAGCTGGTGAGTTGGATGGGTGAGGCGCAGACATCTCAGGAGGTCAGAGATTTCAACAGACACTCAAAACCTGAATGTGGCATGGCCACTTATGCACCGTCAAGGCCGTAGGGGAGACTGTCTCCTGTGCCCACAGGGCAGTTTATACAGACCCTGATGAAGGGACATATTCACAGAAATTGGGTTTTGTGGGCTCATCTTGAAGGAAATACCCCTAACCTCGCCATGTTGGTCTGAAGAGTTCCATGAGATAGTGTGAAGAATAGTTGTGGGTGGCTGGGGGAGGGATAGATACCCTTGAGAAACAACATGGAGCCTTCCAAGTCTCTAATGACCAACAGGAGTACTTGAGGCAGATTCTACATGGCTGCACATTGCTTTTCTTCCGGCTTCCTCAGGGACAGACCAAGAAGTAGCTGAAGGAAGAAGCAACCCCCCCCCCACTTGAGAGACCAAGGTGGAAATAGATTTAACTATATTTATGTCTCAGTAGAATTTTGATGATTTCTTTCTGCAGTTCCTACATGTTTATTGTTGCACATATTTGTAGGGATTTAAAAAATCTTCATTTATGGAGGAGGTTCTATTTCTTGTAGATTCAATTCTTTTCCTCCATGGTACTTTTGAACTGGCTGCTATTTGTGTATAAGAAAACTACTGATGGTTAGATATTGTTTTTGTGAACAATAAGCTCATTGTTTAGATTATTATGAAATTGATTTTCTTGGGGTGTCTGGGCATAAAATACTTCTATTGATAGTGTTACCTTCCCTTTTCTTGTGATGGTGGCACTTGTGTTTTCTAGCTGATGGCATTGGTCCCAGACATGCTGGTGGGCAATCTCAAGTCTTATAAGTACAAGTGGGGTTGTTTGTCTTGTCTCTCAGCTTTTAATGGTGGCTCACCATGTGTGATGCTGGGAGACAATGAGAGATGAGAGACAACATGAAAGACAAGGGGACCAGATATCTCTACTGTATTAAGGCTATTTTATTGGAGGAACTGGGGATGCAAGTCTGTGTAGCTGAGGACTGTGGTTAGCAAAATGAACACAGATATACAGATGAGATCAGCTATTAACCAAAAGTCGATGGACGGGAGGAGGAAGAGACCACCACAAAGAGTTTCTGAGAGCTAAGCTAGTTGAATATGCCAGGAGGGATCAATTGAAGGCACCCTGTGAAGAGGGAATTAAAGAAAAAAGACTAGAATGCATTACTATTGATGACCTGGGGGCTGAAATTACTTGGAAAGGCAGAGTCCTGGTACCTGACAGTGTGAAGAAGGAACTCCTACAAAACTAAGGGCATTCCTTGCCCCACCTGCCAGCCTTTAAGACTGAATTAGACACTGCTGTTCTGTGGCATTGATTCTGAAATAAAACTGGCCATAAATCAGAAGTCAGTTTTCCAAAATGACATTTTTGTGTGTGTGATGGTATATAGCTTTCAGTAATGATTCATGCATTATATTGATTTTTCCCTTAAATGTGTTATTTTAATAAATATCTCATAAATGAGCTTGAAGTTTGCATGGGAAAAAGGCAGGAATGGATTTTGAATGTTGTGAATTGCCTTTTCTTTTTCTATGGAGATTATACTTTTCTCCTGTACATTACTCAAATGATTAATAATACTAAAATAGTTGCCAAATGAGTCATGCTGACATTCCTAGAATTGATTCCTTGAGTCAATTATTCTTTTAATGTAGTCTAGATTTTATCCTCTAATATTTTATTTAAGAGCTATTGCATCAATATTTATAACTGAGATTGTAATGTTTTCTTTTCCATGTATGTGATCTTGGTCAGTTTGTAATATCAGTACTACGTTGATTTCACCTAAACTCATTGAAGTTTCTCCTTCTACGTGTTCTAGAAAGATTTGCCTAGTACTGGAAGTACCTGTTCCTTGAAAGGTTTGGGAGAATTCACTTGAGAAATTGAAACAAGTTAAGATCTGGACACACCTGTATAAAAATTACTCAGCTAACAAAAGGCTTAAGATGTTTTTCAGAAAGTGCCTCCAGAATCTATTTAAGGACAGTTTGAAACCAGCTTTTCAACAATGGACTTGTGTGGAAGAAGCCAGCTGGGCTGGCCAATGGACTCTGACCTCACAAACTCAAAATCTTCAAAGCTGATCATGATAACTCTGCAGAAAACAAACAGGTAACCTGTGAGGAGACAGGATAATAACCTACATCTGCTCAAAAATACCCTAAAACTTTCTCTAGCCAATCAACAAGCAGCTTTCTCTCTCTCTCTCTCTTCCCATGCATTCTCCTACCAACCCATTAGGAGAGTAGTTTTCTTTTGTAAGAGTAGCCTGCTGCTTAAGCCACCTGCCTGTGATACTTGTTATGGCAGCTCAACGTGGTTTTCTACACATTACTTTCAAAAAAGAACTGAAGGGCTGAGGATTTAGCTCAGTGGTTTTGCCACCTGCTATGCAGGTGCAAGGACCCGAGTTCGATCCCCAGTACCAAAAAAAGCAAAAACAAACTGAAGAAGGCTATAAAGCAGCATTAAGAAATTCTGAGATTTTTTTTTTTTACCATATAGCATAAGAAGATTGCAATGTGTTGTGTATATTTACAAGACATTTAAAGATTTGGATGACAATGCTCTAGAAAAACCTTTTATATTCCCATCAACTTATTTATTTAACCAAAATTCCTCAACTTATAAAAATGAAAAAAATGGAAATTTGATGCTGCATCTAATCTCATTTGGGCAGATAAAATCTCTCCATGGATATGTGAATTAACTGAATAACAGAGCCCCACCAATTTCAAGAGGGGATGCAGTTAAAATATGGTTTTATACTTTTATAAGTTACATATAGATTTCTTGATTAAAGTTACACTGTTTTGCTCAATTACATATTAATAATTGGTAGTAAAAGTCTAGGTGTTTGGGCGCTTTGGTTTCAGAGATGCTGGGATACGACTCTTGGTTAAAGACTCCCTGCAACACTTAACTCAAGGAATTTATAGGAAAACAGTACATCGTTCTTCAGATGCTCCACCTGCTCAGTGCTGCTTTAGGTTTCTTTTTCTTCCCCTTCCTTCTCTGCCTCTTTCCCCTCTTCTCCTCCTCCTCCACCTCTTTTCTCCCTTCCCCTCCTCCTCCTCTGTGGAGCTGGGGAATCAAATCCAGGGGCTTCCTCATGCTAGGCACATCTTTTATTACTGAACTACACCACAGCTCCCTTTTCAAGCAAATTCTTTGCTGACACAGGGTCTTGTTGTGAGAAACAAGGTCTTTTCTATAAAAAATATGAACAAGAGAGTTCCTCCATCTTAGACTCTGTTCCATCCTAGGTGGCCTTGAACACACTAAATTATGGGAAATGCCTGCTCAGTTGGAATTCTGGGAACATAGCTGCAAACCAAAGATAGCTTATCAATAGCCCTGGACTTTCTGTTCCCTACTCTTCCCTCCCTTAACAATCCTGCCCAGCAACTACTCATGCCTACCCTCTGTGCTACCTAAAGTTACCAATCAGGGTAGACTGTGAACCTTCAACCTAGCCAACGGGAAGAAAGGTCAGCTGCTTTTCTTGCATAAGGAAAAAAATGAGCCTGTTGTGGCCTCCCTGTGTGCTTACTACCTTGCCTTAGAGATGTTGCACACCCTTCTGCAGAAGAAAAAAGAACAAAAAAACCTTAAAACCTTGCCTTGTTGAGATTTTTTGACATCTGCGTGCTTCATTATCTGCACTGGCAAATTGAGTCTGGGGGCTTATTTCTAACATTGCCGTGTTGCTCTGGCTGGCCCTAAACTCCTGGGCTCAAGGAATCTGCCTGCTGCAGCCTCCTGAGAAGCTGGGACCACAAGTGTTTACCACTGTGTGCCCAGGTTTCTGACTGGCATCTCCTTCTCATTACTCATACGTCCATCCATCCTCCCTCCCTCGCTCCTCCAAATGAATGCTGCTTCCTGGTAGCTCATGGGAGTCACCTGAGGCAGAATTTTAAAATGCCACCTAGGCCCCACCTCAAGCCAGTTGTGTCAGAATGACATAGGATTGAGAAAGGCATTTGTGTTTTTTAAAAAGCTAATTGGAAGGCTTGGGTACGATAAACGCCAGGAGCTTAACTCTGGACTTCCTCTCTTACAGTCCCAGCTAAGAGCAAGGCAAAAAATGAGGCAGTTCTGCCAGCAACCAGCAGATGGCAAAAGGGGACACCCAGACTGTGTTCCCCAACTCTCCCAAACTGCTTCTCAACCACTCATTGTGAGGTAAGTAGAAGAAATAAAGATAATTAGAAAAGAAGGAAGAAAATTCTAACTTTAAAATTCTGCTTTTAAGAAGACTGCAACTTCAGGACACAAAGATATCAAAGGTTATTCAGATCAGCACTCCACATCTTTCCTCCCTAGGCTTATTTCAGAAGTTCCTAGGCTTGCTTTCCTTCCAGGCCCATCACACCCGAATCTGTTAAACACACCGGCCAGCTGTGAATGTAGGATCTGGACCACTGCACCTCCTTGCACACTGTTAGGTGTCCTGTCTGCTCTTGGCTATAGTGTTGGGAATGGGACTGCTTTGGACAATGAAATGTGAGCCGAAGCGACATGTTTTCCTTTGTTACCTGACTCCTGGGCCAAAGACCCACTCTAGGAGTCCAAACAAATCAGATTCTGGCCATTCACACCAAAAAGCAAATAGGAAAAGTTATGCAGAAGTTGGAATTTTATCAATATGGCTGTATCTGGAAGATAAGTGAGATCAAGGGTCTCAGTCTTGTCTTCAGGGGTATTGAGCTGAGCTTTGAACTTAAATAGAAGAATTGTGGAGGGAGGGGAGAAGAGGTGTGTATAATTAAACAATCTTGGTCAAACCATGATCTGGCTGATCTTTGTATCAGTACTTGTTTGGTAAAATGGCTCCAAAGAAGTCATTATGTCTTAAGAGGGTGATCTGTTCCCAGGAGATGATTGTCACTACTCAGAGGGGCAGCCTCAACTCTTGTCATTAGGGTAATTGCTCTTATTTAGGATGGTGTTCTCATCATGGTTCCATCTGTGTATGCTGAGGCTCTGCTGGAATCCAAGGTGACTGCAGGTTTAGGACAATGACTGGAGACTCCTCCCGGGATGTTGCAAAAGCTGGCATTGAATGCTCCTGCAAATCTTGAAAATAGCTTACTTCCTCTTATCTTGGTGTCCTCAGTCTTGAAGGGGGATGAAGTACGTTAGGTAAATTTCGGGCTAATAATAAACAGATTTTTTGTTTGTTGCTTTTTTTGTGGTGGGTAACAGTTTTCAAACAGACATTCCTTAAATGATTAACATGCCTAGGTGCAGAGCTGAGCAAAAATCGGATGCAAGGTTTAAAGTAACAAAGGAGACAGGCGTAAAATGAAGGCAGAGATCCCAAGCTTTATCTTGCTTTTAGTTATCCATCAGGCATTTGAAGGCCCAAATGGAGACCCAGTGCTTTCTGGTAAAAACATCCTCCAGATTCCTATGATGCCTTCTGAGCAGAATCTGTAGGAGGTTTCTGGTTGCCTATAGCAGATGGGACAGCGCCTGTCAGCCTTGTCCCAGAGCAAAGCTGACTCACTGCTTGCAAGGATGAGAAATGAACATTTATGGCTACAGAAGTAAGAGATTTGGGAGTTTGGCGATTGCAACATAAACCAGAAAAGCTGCCTGATGCAGTCTCTGTGCACACAGGCAGCTTGTTGGGAATAAGATTGATGAGCATGCCTTTCTGAGAAAGTCCATAGCTATGAAATCTCTCACACATGAATGTGCACTCTCAAATCCGTGCTTCCAAATGGCCTAAGGAGCAGCCCTCTCTGCAGCTGCTTCACTTGCATGGAGCTCTTCCCGGGAGGCTGAGGCTACATTTTCCTTACATCCAACTTGTGGGGCTCCACCCTTCAGATTTGACAGTATGAGGTAGGTAGTCAAGGCAGGCTGGCCTGTCACTGACTGACAGTTACACAGAAAGTGCAGGTTGACCGAGCCAGCTGGGTCAATGGTGATTGTAATTGTCATCAGACAGTGTCTTAGTTATTTTCCTCATTGCTGGAACAAAATACCTGACATCCACAAGTTAAGGTTAGTTTTGGTCTACAGTCTGTAGTCGACTGGCTGTAAAACAGAGAGACATGGCAGAGGGGCATTGTAGGAAGGAAGCAGAGAAGGATGAATGAGGAAGAGGGATACATACTGTTCCAGACCACGCCCACCGTGACCCACCTGTTTCCAACAGAGTTCATCTCCCAACATCACACCGGGATATAAACCCATCAGTGAACTAATCCAGAATCACACACCCATGACCCAGTCATCTCCCAAAAGTCCCACCTATGAATGGACGAGACTTGCAGGAGGATCTAGATATAAACCATAACAGACAGGGGCTGAGGGAGGCCCCCCAAAAGAAGATGGGAATTAAACTCACTAGATTTGCTGATTTCCATCACTGAAAAGGAATTTTCAAGACATGTCAGTGAGAGGCACAAAGAGGTTTATCAGGGAGAATTTAAAAAGTACACACTCAGAGATAACAGAGTGTGGGGCTTTAAGACAGAAGTGCATTATGGTCTGGGGTTGGGGCTTGTTTCATGGTCTTACAGTTGTCCTCAAGATAGGCGATGGAGGATGTGTGCGCCTGCTGTGTGTCGGTTACTCCTTTTGTGGGCTAGGTTAGAATGCAAACCGTTTACATGTGTCTGAGCTTGAGATATGCTGCCCACCAATGTTGCTGCTTCCTTGAGCATGGCAGTCTGTGGGAGGAAGGACAATTTCTAAGTGAAAAATAACGGCCCTAGAGCTTAACCCACAGGCTTAAAGACAATTAAGACCTTTAGGAAATTTTTGGAGTGACTTTTCTGAAAGGGAACAAGGCTTGAGTAGCTTTTGTGTCCTGAAGCTGTAGTTTTTCTTAAAAGTAGTTTTTAAATTATGATTTTCCTTGTCTCCTTTCCACTTACCTTTATTTATTTTATCATAACCACCTGCCCAGTCTGAAAGGAGGGATATGGTTTATCAGCTCCCAGGTCCTGCTTCCTCCCATCACACATGCATATACAACACACATACACACACCACACCTACACACCCCCCATGGCCTGTAGAGCCTCTCCAAATGTGAAAATTCCAAATGTAGCAAAAAATGAACAATCATGAAATATTTTACTGAAACGTTAAACTAAGAGAAGCAGTTTAAGAATAGAACATCCAAAGGGCCGGGGATTTAGCTCAGTGGTTTCACCGCCTGCTGCGCAAGTGCAAAGACCTGAGTTCAATCCCCGGTACCAAAAAAAAAAAAAAAAGAATAGAATACCTGAATTTAGAGTTTTCCAGTTACACGACTCTAAATTCTTGAATAAGGCATTCCAAATTTGCATCTCCATTTATAAATACTCCAGGGTATTTTGTGCCTATTGGGTAACATCTGAGTTTCCTTTTGAAGTATTGAAAAGTTTACCTCCCTGAAAATCTTCGGCAAAAAGAAAGAGCCGCTCAGATCAATGGTGAGGCTTTGGGGAAGGAGTGTGTAATGGAGACAGGAATTCATCCTGGGCCTCTGGAGTGTGGGGAGGGCCAGAGCAGAAGATTAGAGCACCCAGAGGAGCACAGAGTCTGATCTGTACTCCCAGGGCCAGAGATGAGGCCAGTCTCACGGGTGGGCGCTTGTGCCAGGGCCCTGGGTGAGCAGGGCCTCATGCTTGGTTTGCTTTTGCTGTCTTAAAATTCTTAAATTTGGAGCAGAGGTTCTGTTTTCACTTTGCACTGGGCCCTACAATTAACTAGACTCATCCAGACAAGGCCAGGCTGTGCCTGTATCACATGGGATCGCTGACACTGCCTACAGGAAAGGAGCTACAGTTGGCCCTCGAGTTATGACCGCCCTGATATATGAACAACTTGGGTTATGACTGGAATTTTAGTTTTAACTTATGACTAAAGTCTTGAGTTATGACCCAAATGCCAGCTGCTTGTGCTTCCAGATGGTCTCAGATACAGATTCGGGAAGGAACATGACAACATCCTTTCCTTTGTGGGGTTAATTGAGAAATCCTGGGCCAATGTCTCTCTAAGGACCCTGAGATTTGTCTGTGTACAGGAGAGAGACTTTGAAGGCTGTGTAGAGGAGCCTGAGCCTTCATTGACCAACTTGAGTTACTGTTGCAGAAATCTCAGAAAGAAATACACAGAGACAAGGAATTTGGATAAAATAGTAAAATTTCTTCTCACGAGCGGACGGGAATGCCAGAAACCAGTCTGGTCAATATCCGCCCCCGCTTTGTTCAGCGTTTCCTTTTTTATATCCTTTTTAGCCATTATCTCATCCCTAGTGGTCTTTGATGTGTAAATACAATTCCAGTTCCTATTTACAAGTCACAGACACAAGATAGGCACACATACATTGTAAATTCACCCTGGCATGGTAACTTTGTTAGGTTAAAGAAGTTGCAGGTTAGAGTCAGATAATCCTCACCTTGAACAAGGAGTTATGGGAAAAGCAAATCTTAAAAGAACACATTACTTATTTGGCTTCTACAACTACCTTAATATGCAATCTATTAAGTTATCTAAAACTTTTCCGCAACATGACAACCACCCGTAGAGAGCAAATTGAGTGTGTAAGTCAAGAGTCCACTGTATTTTTTTCCTCCAATTTCTCTTTTTTATTACTTCACCTTTGCAAGTCCGTAATGATTACACACTCACTGTGTTGGTGCATACACATAACACACCCTGATTCTCTTTTCATCCCCTTTCCTTCTCCATCCCTCCTCCCCCATCTCTCAGCCCCCTTCCCTTTTGTAAAAGATTTACCTTCCTATTTTCTGTTATCTATTGTCTTGCTCCTTATATTTTGAGTTTCTCACATAAAAGAAACCACGCAATGTTTAAGCTTGTGTGTCTGATTTATTTCACTTAACATTATGGTCGCAAGGTACATCCATTTTTTTTTCCCCACCAATGACTCAAGCTTATCTTTCTTTATGGCAGAGTAGTACTCCATGGTATATAAATGCCTGGGACCTCGCTACTAGAGAAATGGCCCAGGGGACCAGGGTTCCAGGGCTGCCTTCTGCTCTGCTGTTTTTCTGGGTTCAGGGTCAGTGGGTAGATGCAGGGAGGCTGCTCTGGCAGTCAGAGTGAGGACACAGAATAAGATGAGGGACGGGAAGAAATGAAGACAGAAGGGAGGGGAAGTGAGGTGTGCACATGCATGAAAGTGCTTCATGCTCACCCTATTTCCTATCAGGATA